ATCTTTCCTTCATTCAGCCACCAAATATTCAGAAAGCCTACTAATTTATGTCACAGCATCTGGCCATTGGGGAAGTACAAATAAAGAATCCAAATAGATTCTGAACTCAAGGAGAAAAGACAGATCATAAAACTCTTTCAATGTCCTTCCAACTTCCCTAAAAATAAGAATCTCTATGCCTTCCCTGGATCACTTGCACCCATCTCACTGGAATAGGCCTCTTCATCCAGTCCTCTCCAACCTCGCCCCCTCATTCTCCCTTTCTCTTCCTTCTATGTCAACAGCTTCAGAGGTGGGGATATGGCTCAAGTGGTAGAACACAAGCCACCGCAATAAAAAAAGGAACAACTTCAGAATTTCAGCCTCTTTCCCAGTCAAGGACATACAAAAACCTCTAGGTAAGAAGTTGACTTTATATTTCTCTTTCTTCTTCTACACACAGCCATGTCAATTAATTAATTAATCTTCTGTATCCTTCCAAACAGGACAAATCAGGGCTTTAGTGTCTAATTGTTGGGTAACCAGATTCCAACCTGTTGTTTACCTGTTGTGTGACCCTGGTGAATTTTAAACACTACTCTGTGATTCCATTTTCCCTTTGTCAAATAAAGAGGAGAGACTGACCTACTCATTGCAGTAAGAATTAGATGAAATAAATAAAATGCTTAGAACAGTCTGATGCAGAAATGTATCAAGTGATACATGTTTGTTACCATTATTGTGGACTTGGAAAATCAAGCTTGAACACAGTGTGAAATGGTTCAGAACAGGATAAAATTAGAGACAACAAAGGGCTGATGCTGCAGTTTAGAAAGAGGGAAAGAAGGACAGAAGGACATAGGAAATGGAAACCCAGAGTTTCCAGCCATGGAGGCAGGTAGCATAGCAGACAGAGGAATGTTTTTAGCAGTCAGTCAATTTGCAATCAAATTCTGGTTCCACCATTTATTAGCCGTGCTGCCTGAGACAAACTAACCATTCTAACCTCAATTTCCTCATCTGTAATAGTCTTTGATAGAGTCACTGTAGAATTCTAAATGAGATTGTGATAGTGTACATAAAGCACCCAGCGGGTCAATTTTGCATATAGCAAAATATTAATGCCCTCCGTTCCTCCTCTTGACATGAAAGTCTAAAACAGTTGATACACATAAGTATATCTGAATCCTTCTTCTAGCAATGTTGTTTTGAACCACACTTAGATCTTTCCCGATCAGTACACTTCAGTTGGTAAATTATATCCTCACTGGCTCGCTCACTTCTGTGACCCACTTACTTGTCAGAGTCTTGTTTCATCTAAAGAAGTATAAAGTGTCATCTTCCCACCTGCTCTATGCTCAGGTATGAGCCCCTGGGGTCTAAGTATTTGTGCACAATTCTTGTAGATTAAACCAAAAAACATTCTTAACTCAAAACTGGAGTCTAGCTATCAGTTCCAAGGTATAGATGTGAAAACCAAATTCCAAATACAAACTCTGTGAAACAGGGGATAAAAGCAAACAAATGACAACAACAACAACAAAAAATTAGGAGAAATGGTCTGGTATTTTTCTTAATTGAACTTTGTGAAAAAAAATAAATACACTTAAGAATTAATATTGTAAGAAATGTGCTTATATTGAAATGAAAGGTTTTTTAAGAATGATTGTGTGAATCAACACTGTGATAATAACAATGGCGATAATTCTCTTCCTTAGCATTTAGATGAGGAGGCTGAAATAGGAAGTGTCTTGGGATTATAAAATTTAGCATGATAATGATGTCAGAATCAAAATTTGATTGCTATCCACCTGCTCACAAACCTCCTGCCTCTGCCTCCTCAGTGCTAGGATTACAGGCATGCACCAGCAAGTCCAATTTCATTTGATCTTATATTACAACAAGGAGTCCAAGAGAAGATGGAAGAAATACATCCTGGGTTTGCCATGCCTGCTAAATAGTGACCTCTGAGCCTCCCTGAGCCTGTTGCCTCCTCTACAAATTATGACACCAAACCAAATCATTTCCAAGTTCCCTCTTGCTTTAATAACTCATGAGGCTAAGGCCTCTCTCCTACCTAAGACTTCCTCATGTTTTCATAATCAGCCCCTGTTCTAGGCTTCTTCATACCACTTGGCCCCTGTTTTAGCTGCATCCTGAGAGCCTGGAAAATCTTCATGTTGCCCTGTGGCACCAGTTAGGTAGAGTGTATTGCTGGCATCTTTTCCCAACTCTGCCTTCTGTGGCATCATGTTGGCAGTTTGAGATAAACCAGTGAGGAAATATTTATACCATGGAAAATCAGAACATGCCACAAACCAAATCAGTGGGGTTTTTTTGTTTTTGTTTTTGTTTTTTCTTCTGCAAACCAGTTGTTCAGTTTACCAGCAAACAATTACCTGTGAGCCAAACCTTCTATTTCCAGGCTAAACTCTGCAGTGGTCCATGTTCACTGTCCAAGCAACTCTCACTGTCTCTACTGTTATTATAACTCCACTGAGGCCTAAACATTGGCAATGTGGCTAAAAGATAGGGCAAGAAGAACAAAACGTGCAATTGGTGTCCTCTGTTAACCACCCTAGACTCCTCAGGGTACAACTGGCCCCACCATGAGCTCATGGTGCCACTGGGGGTGTGATGCTCCCTTGGATATGGAAGAAAAGGTTATGAGTTGAAAAGAAACAAACTAACAGGAAGGAGGGAGACTTTCCATGTGTCTTCCATGGAAAGGAAGCTAGGGAAGGTGTTCTTGAGAACTCACAGGTCCTTCAATCTGCTGTTAACTAAGTAGGTGTCCCACTTTCACCCAGACTCCTCTGCTACATGGGCCAAGCAAAGGTGAAATAAAAATCACAGGCTGTTGAGTAAAACAAAAATTTCTAGAAGGGGCTCCCTTGCCCCCATTTTTTTGTTGCTTTGTATTCTCTAAGTAAACAAACATTCAGTGCCTCCTTCGCTGTCCCCATATCTGTGCCACAAAGAGGAAGAAATGAGTCAGAGTGAGGTATCCTGCTGTCTCAAGGAGGGAGCATTCTTAGGAAGATTGAGAAACACTTTTTGCCCAAAAGCATTGGGTCAGTTAAAGAAAACTGGGGCTGTGATTGTGTGCCCAAGATGGAACCAGTAGCCCATGTGACCCCTTACACTGAGTGTAGACTAGTGTAAGTGTACAATACACACCAGACTTTGAAGATATACTTTTTAGAACTGAAAATTTACCAGTAATTTTTATATTGAATAAATGTTGGATATTTTAGATATATTGAGTTAAATAAACTATTTGAATAAAATCAATTCACCAGTTTCTTTTTAGTTTTTGTTGTTGTTTTGGGTTTTTTGTTTTTGCAGTGCTGGGAATCAAACTCAGGACCTTATGTATGCTAGGCAAGTGCTCTACCACCAAACTACATCCACAGACCTCATTTTAGTTATTTCTTTTAGGCTGTTCTGGGTTATAGAGTCCAGGTCTCCTAAACAGCCCTTGAATGCTCATCCAGCATCTGTTTGGAGACCTTCAGTGATGGGACATACTGCTCTATTTGCAACAGCCTAACCCTTAGATTTTCTCTGGTCTGAGTTTTTAATCTTTGGATCTACAAAAGAAGTTTTAATTCTCTTGCATAAGACAAGCATCCTGGGAAAAAAATGGAGATAATGATAACATCTCCCTACACTGATGTCTTATGGCACTCAGGTTAAGCAGCTCCATGTCCCATCTCCCAGAATTAATTGAAAGAAATGCTTTATAACTAGAACTAAGGTAAAATGTCTCCTTGAGCTGCAGGAATCTGTCTTCAGCATTCTTTCTTGACAAACTTCTCCTTTAACTGTTTAATAGACTTTTATTGAACATTAATTACTATAGTGGAAGGGGTAGTCACTGCTTTTATTCACTAACACTTCTAAAAGGCTTCCTGAAATTTATACTCTGCTCCAAACATACACATTATAACTCACTGAATCATCAAGATTGATGGGGCAGGAAATATTATTCTCCCCACTTTATAGACCTGGAAACTAAAGCACAAAGACAGAAGTCGCTTGTCCAAGATCACACAGCTAGCAAGTGGCAGAGGCAAGCACAAATGATACTGCCTGTTCTGTGTTTTGGTAACTACTGCTTAATGCTTGTTAGGATTTAAACTTTTAAGTGATTAAATACTCTCTTCCTAAGGAACTTGTTGCCTCACTATACAACAGAGAATAGGATAGGACCACAAGCACAAACTGCCCTCAGTAAATGTCAGCTGTTTGATGAAAATAAAGGGAAATGAAACCCAAAAACTCAAGGTTGAAATCCTTTGTGTACTATCTTCAAGCAGAACCGAGAAGGAAAATTCTCTCAGGCACTTTCACTCTGAAGTTTAAGCAGGCTGAATCCTGCTATTTCTACTCCTTTCTATTTCTCCGGAAATAGAAAGACAGGTTCAATGATGTCTTTGAGAATTTGAAAAGTTCAAATTTGAATCTGTTTCTAGTGAGTAATTACTCATCTTCAGAAAGCAAATAATCTTAAAACTGAACAAATGCATTTGAGACAGTTTGAGCTATTTAGAATACACACGAGGATGAGCTTTCTAGCAATAAAAATTATGAGTGATTAAAACAGATCATAGAAAAAAAATGAGTGATGAAATCCCTTCTGAAGGGATGATCTGTGATCCCACCTTTAAGTAGGATGAGGGGAGGGATTTTCCTCTTCCTCCCAGCCAAAGACTGGCAAAAAGTAGCTGTGGGGAATTAGATGGAACCAGTGTGAACTATGTTACAAGAAGCAAACCACAGAGCAAGAAATCCTTGTATGAATGAAACAGAGAAGAACACCCCGCAGACGAGAGAAGTCCTGAGGATAAAGGTTCTCATCTGATACCTAACAGCTCCAGGCTCCCACCCAAGGGGCCAGGTGGAGGCAGTGGATTTCATCAGCACACAGTTGTTGGCAGGACTCAGCATTAGCCCAAAAGAGGAAGAAGTGCCACAGGCCCCCCAGGGTGAAAGCCCCCACTTCAGAGCAGACTTACCCAATAGGTGAACAGCAACTGGAATGACAGAGACAAAAGCCAGGAGTAAGGACAGCCTCATGGCCCAGAAAGTATCCTCTTCTTCCACTAATGGAGAGCAGGGCAGAAAAACAAAACAAAACAGCTGGGGCCCTGATGCCCCTCCACCTAGCCCGGGTCCTCAGAGCTGTCTTGCTGAAAAGGAATGTAGAGGAAGCTGGCCTTTTTAAAGTGCTCCTGGATTTAGGGAAACCCTCCAATAAGGAGATATCCTGTCACATGAGGGTGGTTAGAAAAACAGGAATTCAAAGTTACAACTTTGCTTCGTAAGCTAACTTCTGAGAAGAGCAGGCCCACGTGTAGGAGAGGGGTGAGGATGGGGGAGGAGAGGCCATGGTGAGCAGAGCCTTGAGGTGTCAGGCCTGCCTGCAGGATGGGAGAATGGAAGGCGCCCAGGACCTTGAACTTGCTCTGATGATGCTGGGTGGGGACCACTTCGCAGCGTTACCTGGCCAGGAAAACAGAGATTCCCCTGTGAGGCTGCAGAGTCAGGGGTCTCTGAGCAGACAGAAACAGGCAGGCACTAAAAAGATGGTGATGGTGGAAATATTTAATGATCCCCTTCATTCTCTATACTCAGACTTTCTCTCTCTCTCTCTCTCTCTTTTCTTAGAAAGCCTCAAAAAAAAAAAAAAAAAAACCAAAATACAGTTCACACAGAGCTTTGTTCCTCTAACTAGAAGAAAAGCTAAATCCATGATGGAATCTCAGTGAGGCCAAGAAGGAGAAAGTTCCCATACAAGAATGAGTATAGAATTTTTAAACCTGTTAAAATCACCATGAGAAGGGGACTAAGGTTAAAAAAAAAAAGTTAGAGGGGATGAAACAATTTGGATTGTAATATATATATGGAAATAGCACAATAAAATCCCCTGTGTAGCTAGCTCTCTTATTAAACACACAAAAATGTCTTTTTTTTTTTTTACAAAAAACAGACCAGGAAGGCAAAACAGGTCCTGTCTGGGAGGTGGGAGGATGGGGAGAAAGGGTATAGGAGGGTGAATATTGTGGAAATATTGTGTACACGTGTATGTAAATGAAAAAAGGAGATCTGTTGAAACTGTTCCAGGATTGGGGGGGAGGGGAATAAAGAATGATGAAGAGAGTGAATTCAACTATGATACATTGTAAGAACTTCTTTAAATGTCACATTGTGCCCCTGGCACAACAATAATAAAAATAAATAAATACAATTTTAAAAAAGAAAAGGAAAGCTAAATCCATGATGGAATCTCTGTGAGGCCAAGAGGGAGGAAGTTGTAGAGCCTTTCTCTAAGAAGCCAAAGGGAAGAGTGACAAGATAAAGAATTTGCAGTAAGCCTCCTGCCAACCCTCCACCATAGTGGTCTTCTTCAAGTTTGGAAGGGTCTTTCTTGCTGGAAAAAGAAAATCTAGTTTTTAGGCAAAAGATGTCTATTAATTTCATGATAAGTGAAATTCTTTCTTAAAAAGAAAAAATGTTACTAGATCTTTCAAGAAGTACATTATTAACCTCCAAACATCTGTTTTGTTATATTTCAGAAATAAAATGATTAAAATCATTAAACAGATTAATGATTTGATAGCCACAGCCAACCTGTAACTGGAGTGTGGGAAATGCTAGTAATTCATAGAGAAGCCACAGAAAGTGTTGTATTTTGTGAAATTTTAATAGTTTATCCTCAAGTTTATTCTGACAGGAAGAGAAAACACGCTGAAAATATGGGAAAAGGATCAATGTTTCTCTTTCACTAAGCCCATGCTTGACTGGCAATTTTTTTCTTGCAAAACAGAACAGGTGAAACAAAAATGTTTCATTTTCAGATATTGTTTCACTGATTTATCATGAAAAAAAATTTGAGCTCAGGTCTCACTATGTACCTCAGACAAAGTCGAACTCATGATCCCCTTGCTTTAGTTTCTCAAGTGCTGGGATTATAGGCTTAACTCACCAAGCCCAATTCCCAAAAACTTTTTTAGATGAATCATTAATGGCTTTTAAATGTAAAACAATTGTATACCTTTCAAAGAGTTTTGCCTAATTTATATTTACAGTGAGTTCACTTTTTTTTTTTTTCTTTTATGGTGCTGGAGATCAAACCCAGGGTTTTGCGCAAGCTAGATAAGAGCTCTACCACTGGGCTACATCCAAACTATAATGATTTCAGAAGAAAATAAATTTTAATTGAATTATCTCTATACTCACATTCAGACTTTTAATTACACAAACGTGTCATTTCACATTTGTGTAATTAAAAAATTAGAATTAAAAGTAAAGATTTATGGCCTTGAAGCAACTTGAGTCCATCTGTTCCACAAAGAATTCACCTCATGACCTTGATGTTTAGATGATCAAGTCAAAAAAGAAATCCATCTCTTGGGGGGGTGCATCCCACGTGATGGTGGAGTAGGAATTCCCATGTGTTAATCCTCCACCTAAACAACTGTTGACCTGGCAGGAATTCTGTGAAGCAAATATCTTGGAATTCTACAGTCTAATCAAAAACTTGGAGCTTCCCATGGAGAGCTTGATGAAAAGGCTGGTGAATTTCAACTTTTTACTTGTTGGTGCTACCAGCCTCCATCCCTCATCCCCCAGGCCTCATCCCTCAGAAGACGTGAGGGCACATCCCACATTCCGGGTAAAGTTTGTTGGCTCCAAAGTGGACAGTAAGGATCTTATCCTCCAACACTTCCTAAGTGTTGAGAAGATGGGGCAGGAGGATGGTGAGTTCAAGGTCAGGTGGGGTGGGGAGAGAGAGAAAGAAAGAGGAGAGGAGAGAGGAAGAAGAAGGAGGACAAGGAGAAGAAGAAGAAGAGGAGGAGGAGGGAGAGGAAGGGAGGAGAGAAATGGGGAGAGAGAAGGAGAGAGGGAGGGGAAAGGAGAGGAAGGGAGGAAAAGGAGAAGGGGGTGGATGGAGGGGGAGGGAAGAAAAGAGAAGACAACCCACAGATTAGGAGAAAATATTGGCAAATCATAATCTGGTAAGGATTTGATATTCAGAATATATAAAGAACTAGAACTCAACAATCACAACACTACAACCAATTAAAAAATGGGCAATGTTCCTGAATAGGTATTTCTGCAAAGATATGCGAATGAACAGTAAACACATGTTTAACATCATTAGTTATTAGGGAAATTCAAATCATAATAAGATACCATTTCACATCCAAAAGGATGGCTATTATCAAAAAACAAAACATAACAAGTGCAGTGAGGATGTGGAGAAATTGGGACCCTTGGGGATACTGGGAAAGGTAAGTGGAAAGTGGCGTGGCAGCTCCTCACAGTTAGATACAGACATGCCATCTCTAGGTATACACGCCCAAACAACTGAAAACAAACATACGTACAGCAATGTTTTTAGCAGTATTATTTACAAAAGCCAAAGATAGAGGCAAGTCAGGTGTAGTCTATACATACAATAGAAAGTAAAAAAGGCATTCTGACACCTGCTGTAGTATGTACAACCTTTAAACATTATGCTAGGTCAAATAAGCCAGACACAAAAGGACAAATACTGTGTAATTCCACTTACGTGAGGGATAGAGAAGAAGAAAATTCACAGAGACAGAAAGAAGAGAGCTTACCAGGAGGTGGCAAGTTGGAGTAGGGGAGAATGGAGAGTTACTGCTTAATGGGTACAGAGGTTCTATTTTGGACTATGGAAAAATTCTGAAAAGAATGGAAATAGTGCCAAATGCTGGTGGTTCATGCTGCAATCCAAACTACTGGGGATACAGATCAAGAGGATCAAGGTTCAAAGCCAGCCAGGGCAAATATCCTGAAAATATCCAACACAAAACAGGACTGGTGGAGTGGCTGAAGTGGTAGAATGCCTGCTTAGCAAGCTTGAGACCCTGAGTTCAAATCCTAGTACCGCAAAAAAAAGAATGCCAATAGTTAAGTAATATTGTGCATATACTTAAAGACACTGAATTGTATTGCTAATGATAGTTACAATGATGAATTTTAATGTCCAACTCTTGCCATTCTCTTTATATCCTCTACTAAGTTTTGATTCTGGTTTTTGTCTATCTATTAATGATAGTGGTTGCTTTTACCTAGTCCTTCCCTCAAGCTAAAATAAGAGGAAATCCTCATTTGTTATGAGCAATGCAATCATTTCTTCCTAGACTTTCTCAAACATGGGTCACCTCATACCCACTCAGTTTCACGGAAGATGAACTTTGTATCTGCCTTGCTTTGAAACAGTTCCCAGAATATTAGCTCAACAAATTCCTTGGTAAACTGTTACATGCATACCACAGATATATTAAGGGTCCCATTCCAGACCATTGCAGTAAAGTGAATGGCACAATAAAGTGAACCACACAGTTTTAAAAAATTTCTTGATGCATATAAGAGTTATGTTTGCAGCATAATGTATTCTATTAAGTGTGCAATTGCATGGTCGCTAAGAAATGTACATATCTTAATTTTCAACTACTTTATTCCTAAAAACGTAATGATGATGTGAGCTTTCAGAAAGTCATAATCTTTATGTGGGGGAGGGTCTGTTTGATGTCTACAGCGCAGGGTGGAGGGCAGACTGGGGTAGCCGTGGCAATTCTTAAAATAAGATGACAATAAAGGTTGCCAAATCAGTTGACCCTTCCTTGCACGAAAGAGCAGATGCAGTGGGAAAAATATTGACCATAAACTTACTCAATGTGGTTTCTTCCCCAAACTTCAATTTGTAAAAACTCAATTATCAATGAAGCATGATAAACAGAAAGCAATAAAAGGAACTATTCTTGTATATTATTTTTCGTAGATAAAACTGGTAGTCTATTTGAAGGATTCTTTTTTTCAAATAAGCCTATCTTTAATGAGCAAAGTTTCTGAAATGATATCAAGATAATTCCTACTCAGAAAAAAAGACAGTATAATAATGTAGTTGCAAAACTTTTAAATTAAGATAGAAAACTATTTTCATGTCCTCATTCCATATATTTTCTAGTTCTTACCAACATGTAGCAAAACACCAGTAATGCATTCACAGTATAACAGAAAATACATTATAGCAGTCAAACTTCTTTGTATTATGTCATTTATATAAAATTTGCCTTCAGATAATACATTTAGATTTTTGTAAGCTGCAAAATATGTTTGCAGACTAGTTGATGGGCCTGTCAGTATTCTGAGAAACTTTATACT